GCTGACGGCGGAGGGTCCCCTCGGTCAGGAGCGAAAAAAGAAGGCACATGTGCACGTTGGTTGCGCAAGTGCGCATTGCGCGAACGTTCGTATCACGAGGCTGGTCTCGCGGACTGGGGGGCCGTACTCGTGTATGTGGTTGGGCGCGTGCGTCGTTTGTGGGCTCCGTACTCGGGGCATCCCGCGGCTCGAACCCCAGACATGTTCGCGTGTCGACACTCGTCGCGACGGGAGGTTCTTGGCAATGTTCGGCCTCTGGGGCCCCTCGCTGGGCCCCGGGACTGTCAGAGAACGACTCGGGAGGAATCGCGGGCCTTGCAGGAAAGGGCCGGGACTTCGATGGACCCCGCATTGGAAGACTCGCTATGTCGGATGTCGTCGACGGGAGAGGGCGCTCCTCGGGAGCGCGAGCCGGCCGTGACTAACTCGGGCCTGTGCATAGGGGCTGTGCCGACTGGCCACCTTCGGCCTGCGGGCAGCGTCGGCCTCGCTCTGGGCGGGCGCCAGGCCTCGGCGAGGGCCCTGCCGCATGGGGCAGCGGCCTCCCACACGGGCAAAACAAGCCGCGCGCGCTGAGCACGGCTGGCGGCGAGCGGCGTTGGGTCAGCTCACCGAGCGCACCGGGGCCCGATGCGGCCGTCATCTCACAGGGCCTCCGCCAAGTGCGCTGCCCCAGGGGTCTTCAGCTGCGTCAGCTGCTCCATCGGCAGGTCCTCCAGGAAACCCAGCAGGATCTGCACGAGTTGGGCCATCACTATGACGTCCCCCGCCTCTCAGACGGTCGGCCCGATGTGTAAGATCGAGGTCGGTTCGGGTCGGGGAGGGTACCTTAGTGGTCTTCGTGTTTGCTGGATGTTCTTGTGCATCCTGGGGAGGGTAACCGTGGATATTCTGTGTGTTTGGGCCGGCGGAGGGTCTCTTGTTCTTGAAGGATGCTCTTCTGTCCTTGGTCCGGCTGGAGCCACTCCAGTCTTGGGCGCCACTGGTCCACGGCTTTCTTGATGGCCGTCTGCGCCGCCCTGGTCTCCAGGTCCCTCCATTGCCCAGGGCGGACTCTACGCTCGGGCCCACCACGCGGCCACCACTGACGCAGAATCTCTCGCACGTCACCTCAGATCGTGATCGGGCCGAACGAGCATCCAGGCCTCCTAGATGGGGTCGGAGTAGATGGTGTCGGAGGATCGCGCTGCATCGCCGATGCGGCTCGATGTGGAGCCCGATTTGCTTCACGTCGACGTCGCCGATGCATCATCGGAGTCGCCGATCGCCAAATGCATCGGCGATGCATCGCCGATGCGGCGCGAACCTCCGACCCCATCTACTCGGACCCCACCTAGGAGGCTTCTAGAACATAGGCGCATGTCCCAGCTCACGAAAGTGCCTGAGGGCCCCTGGCACAGCTGGCCTGGGCACCCTTGCTGCCTCAGACTGGGACTCTACCTCCTCGGTGACAGGCACGAACTCGGGATGATGGCGAAAGCAACCGTCTGCCGGCCAATCCTGCGCCGCCGACGGCTCGCGTCTCCTGTAAGTCTCCTTGGCATCAGCGCACCGTTTGTCCGCGCCGAAGCGTTGCATTGCCGTCACCTCCACTCGCGAGGAACCCCAGGGTCAGGGTTATGCCAGAAATCGTCAGTCCCACCGCTGGCACACGCACCTGGTTCTGCTTCATGACTTCAGGCTGCTCAAGCTTCTGGACCCACTCTGCGCGGCGCTGCGCTGGCTGGCCGAGGCATTGCTACTGCCTTCACCGCGGTCTCGAACTGGAGCTGGCAGTCGCGCACGAAAGTCTCCACCAGCGCCACATCGTCGCGCCCCAAGCCCGCGAAGAAGTCGGCCCACTGGTCGCCCAACCAATCCACCAGCTCGCAGCCCTTGGTCACTGTCTTGTCGTATGACCGATGCGGGCCTTGCCACACAAACTCCAGGTCAGGACCACTCCCTCAGCATACGTAACCCCGAGAAGCTTTTAGAACCCCCCCCTTTCCGGCGTAACGATAACCCTTCCGCACCCTGGAAGCGTTATCCCGGCACCAGGAGGGGGTTCACCCTGTGTTTCTTTAGCTTTTCCTTGGTTGTCTTAGCTTTTCTCTGGTTTTCCTAACTTGTCATTGGTTAACTTAGCTTTTCATATGTTTTCTCAGCTTTTTTTCTGTCTCTTTCTGAGGTTGTCGTAAGTGTTCTCAGTTGTTTCAGTTGTGTTCTAAGCTTTTCTTTTGTTTTCTTAGTTTTTCCTTGGCTGTCTTAGCTTTTCCTTTGTTTTCTCAGCTTTTCCTTGGTTGCCTTAGCTTTTTCTTGGTTTTCTTAGCTGTTCAATGGTGTCCTGGCTCAATCATATTCAGATTCATTCATATTTCAATTTACACTGTGACCCATTCATACTCTGGCTCGGGGGTTTTTTGGGGGGCCAGCCGGGTGCTAAGATAACGCCTCGGTGCGGGGCGGGGGCGAGACCCTGGGGTGGACCACCCCCTACGACGGCCGAAGAACATCAATTTCCCAAAGGGGATTGTGATAGAAATCTCATCGAATAATCCTCGCATGGAATTCCTCGCATTCCTAGGGATCTTAACATTTCCTAGGACATCCTTAAGATTTTGCAGGAACTCCCTGACATTTCTTGAACCAGTCCCTGGCTAGGCTTTCCATGGCTTTCCCCAGCATTCCCCAGGCAATGCGAGGGATCCCTAACACTTCCGAGGATTCCACAGACTCACAGTGCTTCTTAAATTCCTTCGCATTTTCTTAGCATTTGTTTAGGAAAGCGCACCATTCCCTAGGATGTGCCGCTGCATTTCCTTTGCATGCATTGGCAGTTCCTTGGCATTTCCTAGGATTTTTCTCGCATTCCCTCGGAATTCTAGACGCTACGCGTATCCCCACCAGCCCATCGACAAACGATGCGTAAGGGAACTGACGGAAGACGGGAAGAAGAAACGCACATAGTGAAACCGAGCGGGCAACAACGGTGAATCAGGAGGTCTTTTGTGGCGAAGGTTGCATGTGTTGCTGCTGGTGCTCTTGCTCCTGCTGGTACTGCTTCTGCTGCTGCTGCTGCTGGTGTTGCTGGTTCTCGACCAGCGAATGCCCTGGCGAATGGAGGTGATCAGGGAAGTGAGGGAGCACACAGAGTAATCAAGGGCTGGAAAACCCGTCTTATCCAAGACGGCGAGGATGGAAGAGGAATCGGAGGAGGATGAGGAGGTGGAGAAACTGAAGGAGGAGGAGGGGGAGCGGGGGGAGAGAGGAGGGCGGAGGAGGAGGAGGAGGAGGAGGAGGAATAGGCGGATGAGGTGGAGGAGGAGGGGGAGGAGCAGGAGGAGCAGGAGGAGAATGAGGAGGAGGAGGAGCATGGGGAGGAGGAGGAGGAGGAGGAAGATTAGTCGGATGAGCAAGGGGGAGCAGGAAGAGGACGGCGAACAAAAGAGCCAGAAACCTCTTGGATCCCTCTCGGTTCCTCTTGGGATATCTCTTGGGCGCTTCTTGGAGGCCTCGTGGGACGTCTTTGGGGTCTCCTGGCGTTCCTGGGGAGCTCTTGGGCATCTCGGGCGCCTCAGGGGGACCTCTTGGGGCCGCTTGGGGCCCTCTTCGGGGGGCTCTTGGAGGCCTCTTGGGTGCCTCTTGAGGTCATCATGGGGCCATGTTGGAACCATTTTGGGGTCTCTTGGCGCCTCCTGGGCGCCTCTTGGGGCCATCTTGGAGGACATCGATCAAAAAGGAGGAGAGCTTCAATTACGACCCCCCCTCGGAAACTCCAAACATCGCCTCTTGGGCTCATTTTGGAGCGCTCTTGGGCGCTCTTGGGGCCGTCTTCGGGCTCTCTTGGGCCCCTCTTGGGGCTCTCTTGAGCCATTTTGGAGCCATCTTGGGCCTCGGATGGCCATCGGAAGCGAAACAGCGAGAAAGCACACATCATTGGTTTGCTTCAGGTTTTTGAAGGATGTTTGCCTCTTGGAGGCCTCCTTGGAAAGCTATATGGCCTCTTGGGGCCGTCTTGGGGCGGTCTTGGGGCATCTTGGAGCATCTTCGGAGCCATCTTGGGGCATCTTCGGCTATCTTGAGCCATCTTGGAGCTCATCTTGGCTCTCCGAGGCGCTCTTGGAGCCGTCTTGGGCCATCTTGGACGCTCTGACCGCTCGCGGCGCCCCCCGTCCAGGTCCAGGGGAGGGGGTAGGGGGAGGGGTAAACCCCTCCCCGAAGGGGAAGAAGGAGGGGTGGAAGAGGAAACTCTCTAAACCACCTACGCCCAGAGGGCTGGTGGGATTCCTCGCATTCCCTAGGATGCCACAGGGATCTCGACCCAGATCCCTTGGGATCCCCAGCATACACCGCACTCACATCTATACCCCTGGGTGGGTGTATGTGCGGCCGTTTTTGCGCTGTCATGTGCGCGCATGTGCGCGGCATGTGCCAGTCATGTGCCAGGCCTGTGCGGCCCTTCTTGGATGGACTTCCTACTGTGCACGTCGTGCCCGGGCATGTGCGGGGGCATGTGCGCTGTGTTTTGATGTATCCATCATACGCACATGCACGCACAGTCCGACGCACATGCGCGCACATGCCTGCACATGCGGGAGGTGTTCGAGAATCGCAGATCTGGGTTTCGAGACGCCCTGAGCTGAGGTGGTTAGACCACTTTCGCCTGAGACATCCTCGCAACTCTGACCTCAGAGATCTCCTGCCCCATGCTGGTCATGCCACTGTCGCCTGAGACATCCTCGCAAGTCTCGATTCCGATATGCCCCGAGCTGAGGTGGTCAGCCATTGTCGCCTGAGACATCCTCGCAACCCTGATCTCAATGATGCCCTGCTCGATAGTGTCTCGGCCCCTTTCGCCTGAGACATCCTCGGAACTCTGGGTTCCGAGACGCCCTGAGCTGAGGTGGTTAGACCGCTTTCGCTTTAGACATCCTCGCCCGAGATGCCCCGAGTTGAGGTGTTCAGGCCATTTTCGCCTGAGACATCCTCGCAACTCTGACCTCAATGATGCCCTGCTCCAT